TATATATATATATATATATATATATATATATATAAGTGAAGGGTTCGTTTACGTGAAGAGATTGCTGCAGACATCTGTAGTTTTTTGAGGATTTATAATGCAGTGGTCTGGTTTTGACGTTTTTTTCATGGCATTTAAGATATCTGTTATTTTTTGATGCAATCTGAATGATTTTCAGTGAGAACTAATTGTTTCATAGATCACTATTTCAATAATTCATCTTTTCAATATTTCGAATTGCATTGTTCAGTGACTTTGCTATGTTTTTGAACTCTGCAGTACCATTCTTTTCTTATCTTTCTTGTTCGAGCTTTTGTTTTGTTGAATTTGGTCAGGCTTTGTTTTTAGGGTCAAAAAACGAACTATTATCAGCATTTACGGTCGGGAACACAGCTTATCTGAAAGGTCCTTCATTGGAAGGATTTGACCATCATCTATGGAATTAATAAAAGAAGATCACAGATGTTCCAAACGTAGACCCTCGTGAAAGGTACTTTGAATTGTTCACAGTTGCCATCTCCTTGCCGACAGATTTCTAAAATGGATAGTAATATGGAAGAAATTGTTGCTTTAACGGAGCTGCGCGCAAAAGTCGAGCCACATAAAAGGGATCACTTTTATGCAGATATCTCTAAAGCACGAACAATAAAACAAGAGGTTCAATTGTCTTTTTTTTCACTTTTTCGAAACTCTTATTTATGAACACTTTACAATTAATATTCCGTTAAAAGATTTTTGTTGAGTATTACATGTTCTCACTTTTCATTAGCAACTTTTTTAAATGAGTTTAAGAAGTACATGTTTTAAATTATAATTATCTGCTTTCTACAACCGATTTTGCATAGCGGTTATTTAGATTGAAGAAGGAAAAATAACTTTTTGTCTCTTGTCGAATAAGGTTGGCGAATTACAGTCAGTACAAGAATTGGAATGGCTAACGCAGACTCAAGCATTGTTCGGAATTCAACTCCCTGCAATGCCAAAAGAATATATATCACGTTTAGTATTTGACTGCCGACATGAAAGCCTCGTCATAATCAAAAAGGGTATATTCGTTGATAAAAACTGGTTTTACGTGTTTCATTAAGCTTATTTTTCGTAAAATAGTTGTTTAATACTCTGCACACTACTGAATTGGAGCAGTAGACTAGGACAATCCTTTCTATGTTTGCTTTCTCTAGGTTGTGGTGTTATTGGCGGCATATGTTTTCGACAGTTTGAATCTAGAGGGTTTAGCGAAATAGCTTTTTGTGCTGTGGTGGCGAGTGAACAAGTTAGTTCATTTTTTTATTCAGGCATAAAGGATGTCAAAAATTTTTTCGAGTATTCTTTTTCTTTCCTATGCTTTTTCAACTTAAGAGGTTAAAAGCTGGATATATATTTTCTGTCCCAGTTGTAGATTTAGTTTTGTATTCTTTTTAGGTTAAAGGGTATGGTACGCACTTGATGAATTATTTAAAAGATTACCACGTTGGGACTTGTAAAATATACCATCTGCTTACATACGCTGACGAATACGCTATTGGCTATTTCAAAAAACAAGGTTTTTCGACAGAGATTGCAATAGAGAAAGAACGTTATTATAAATTTATTAAGGACTATGAAGGTGCAACACTAATGGGATGCCAACTCCACCCTAAGTTATTCTTCCTTTTTACTATCTCACTGGCAATAAGTTTAATGAGTGGTTTAATCTGCGGAATTACAAAAAATATCTTTTCATTGCTGTAGGAGGTTGTGTAAGTTTCATAAAGAGATCTAAAGGCATTTAGTGGGAAACAATTCTACAGCGGAAGAAGTACTTTGCTAAGTTACGAGATTGAGCAGTTCTAAGCTATTTCAGCAGTGTTTACTATATCTTTTTTTTTAGTCTTACTCAATAATGGATGATAAACAAGTATTCAACGGGAGTTTTCGTTAATTTTCTGATGCCTAGTTATTTTTTTTCTGAACGTGCAATCATTATGTTGTTCAGGATTGTCTACACAGATTTTGTTGCAACGGCGAGGAAACTAAGTGAACTGTGGAAGAGTGCGACAGACCTCAACTCAAAGTGCCAGAACGTAAAATACGATGGAATTGGTCATCTTTTTGAATTAAATGGTTTGTTTTCATGTTGCTGAAGGAGTAGCATTTTATTTCAACTTGTCCCTGCCGTACAGTCAATGTTTGGTACGATGACGGTCAAAATTCATTTTAATTGGTTTGTTTTTTAAGATTGCTGGTTGTTTGATTGAATATGTTCTGAGATTCAGATCACAGTCATTTTACAATAAAAAAGCCTACAGATAGAGCTGTTGCAGGGAAGGAACCAGTACCACTCAAACAAATACCAGGACTTGAAGCTTTTGGTGCAGGAAACGAAGAGGAGGTTATGACTCCGTGTAAAGACCATGAGTTAAAAATAAAGCACGTTTTAAATTCCTTCAGAAAACACAAGAAGAAGTTTTATCCGTTTTTTGAACCAGTAAATGCTGAGGAAGTACCTCAGTATTACGAGCATATAAGATTTCCGATCGATATTAATGCAATGAGCGATCGACTTCGAAGCGGGTACTATGTACATGTAAGTTATTCCAGCTTGAAGGTGAACAGTGGTGGGATGATATGATCACCATTGTTGCAGGACGTTCTAAGCAAAAACCTTAGCTTGCTTTGCTTATAGATTCTTTCAAGTTTTCATCTAAGAATGAAGTATTTAGGAAAGGCTTTTTATTGCTGATGTACGTCGAATGCTTAACAACTGCTTCAAGTTCAACGGTCGTGACACAATTTACTATCTTCTTGGTTATAAGTTAGCCAAATATGCTAGGAATCTCGTGCTGAAAAGCTTTCCCGACGCAGAAATAATTCCTGAGTTACCCGAAGAAAAACCGTTGGTCAAGAAAGGTAATGAAATTATTGAATACAGCTGAAATAATAGTTCTTTTAAAAAGTTATGTAATATATCAAAAGTTGGCCTATGTTGACGTCTTAAACTTGCGAATTTTATTACATAATTTCTTTTTTCTTTATATATCTAATTGATTTAGAGTACGGTATTCGGTAGGAAACTTATGTATATATGTAAGTAGTTTTTCCAGTTACTGCTGCCCTCTTCTAGTGCTTTTTGTAATATGTTGTGGCAATCTTTAGTCAAGCTATAACTTTTATGTAGTAACACAGCTGACTTCTTTCAAACGTTTACATGATTCACCGTCGACGCTGTGTATTTCAAGTAATCTATTAAACTTGATTTCGTTTAATTAATGGTAACGTACTAACGTTTCTATTACAGTTTAGTTATATGTTAATGAATTATATTAATGTTAGTTAGAGAAGTTAGTTTTGTATTTGTGCAGGGATATACCTGGAACAGAGTTTGTTGTTAGCTTTATAATATTTGGAAAGGATCTCTGTGCTGACATGATGCTATTCAGCAGTGAATAATCATTCTATTACTTTAAAATGTTATTTCAACTACTATTGTGTTTTTATTCACAACTTTAACACATTTTTGATGTACGCGTAATTGGTTAATTAGCAAGTAAGTCTTAACGTTCTTATATGGCAGTGTTTGCTTATTGTTTCTTATGCCGTTTCAAGTTCATTTTTGTTTTGTGTGACTGTCTGTGAGTGCGTTTTTCAACTTGGCTTTTGGCAAAAATTTTTTACCTATTTTAATCAGTCAGTTCCTGTAGTATTTAGTTTTTTTGTAATGTCTGTTTTTCAGAGGCGAACATATCTTTGTTTTATAGGATGAGAAAGGTTTTTTTAAATATGGAGAGGGGTCAAGTAATGGGATAGAAATATATTTGTTTAATTCTTTATCAGTTTCTTTGCGGGTCAAAGAGGATTTACAAAGCAGCACTGAATCGACCGTTTATTTAGAAAATAATTTTGAGAAGTTAGGTCTCAGTCGGTAAATTACGGGCTCTGTGCAAATATCTGCATAAAATGCAGTTTGTTGTAGTAATTACAAAACCTTTTTTGTAGGGAGGTTCCTTAAATAAACTTTTTATCTAGATTTTTTTTTTTGTTTAGACAATTGAAGTGTATTTTATTTGTCTACTTGAGGTGGTTTTGTTGTTGAACAGTTTGAGCGCACTTTATATTAATCTTGTCGTGTTTTCTATTGTTTTGGTTTTACTGTTTCTAGTTGCTTAAGCGGTGCTGATTTATGACTTATGGAGTGATTTTAATTGAGGAGCCGCTGTGAGTACTAATTTTTTGGGAGTAATTAATAAAAACATCAACTTACTCAATTATTGGTTATTACTTCTTGCTTGCATGACTACATATGACTATATTCTTGAAATGTTGCGCGCTATGAGTTCTCAATATCAGCATTTGTTGGCTTACTAGATTTATTCATTATGTTTCCGGATTTCTGTCGGTAATTGCTTCCTGATTATCTTTTTTTTTTAAAGAATAACAATTTGCTTCTCAAGGGTTCTGCAGCTTATGGTATTAGGCTTTTAAGAGAATTTTCTTAACACAGAGACATCAGTTAGTTATATTACACTTTACTGCTCGATAGCTATATGGTCTTCTTTTAAGTTTTTATTTTTCAATGTCATTTTTTTTCTCAAGATGTTGAGAGTATTTTTGCTGCATTCAGGGTAGATCTGCGTTCATTCATTTCTGTATTCTACAAGTAAAGTTAATTATGGTGAAAGAGCGAGACTGGTGAGAGGAGGGTTGAAGTATATAACTGCTTGAGCCAGATTAGAGCTGCGTTTATTTTTTTAGTTACTCTTTGATTTCTTGCGAATGAGTAGGACATCAGGTGTATCACTCAGCCTTTATTGGTGAAAAATTAAATGGATATGGAATATTCGTGCTAATATGAATGACAAGTGCTTGTAGTTTCGAAAAGTTTTCGGTGGACGGAAGCGACATTTATTGATGAAAAGTAACAGTATTTTTTTATGAAAGTTGTTAGGCGTATTGCTTGGGGAACGATGAGACAAAAGTTGAAGTATTCTTGAAAGTTGGTTTGGGAAAGAAGAAAAAAAGATGTAGGGAATACGTTTATGTTGTTACTCTACTGAAAAGTATACACTATAGCGAACAATATTTTTTCCTACTTCTGCTGTTGTTGTCAATTATTACATTTGGAACATTTTTGGTCTTTTTGTGTTTGTCTATCTTTAAGTTTTGTCTTTTTCTTCGGTCATTGTTTCAAAATTGAAGTTTTGCTTCTTTTGTTTAACAAAAAACAATTATTTTTGACTAACTACTATCCTGATTTTGAATGAAATGTTTGCTAATCTGTTCGCGGTATACTTCATATAAGGGAAATATATTTGGATGAATAAGGAGTTTCGTGTGGAACTGGAGAAGTGTAGCAAGAAGTTGATTTAGGGAAACAGTAAATAATGAAAGTTTGCAAAGAACTGAGTTTACAGAAAGATTAAAGAGGAAAAAAAGTGAGATTTATCCACGAAAGTCATGTAATGATTGTTCTTTGCAAATCGATGATAATTTTTTGGTGAACGCCCTCGGAGGCAGAAAAACTAAATGAATTGTCTCTAGAAGTGTTGGAAACTGTTGTTGTGTTGGGTACAGAAGTAGCTTAAATATTAGCTGTAATAAGTATTAACCGTTATCGGCTATAAAAGTTTGAAATCGTTGTGTATGTATTGTGATGCAAAAGTTTAAAAGGTGCATCTAAATGCAGAGCCTCTTTTGTTGCAATGTGAATCCACCTGAAATGATGGCAAAGAATGCTAAAAATTTTTTCAATTTTTAGATACAATATTATTTGTGTAATGATGAGAAGGAAGTTGAATGAAACGAAGGAAAAAGTAAAAAAAATTTTTTGTTGTATAATGATGGGGAACAAAGGTTTTATTGCAAAAATTGTACTGTAGTTTCGATGTCGTTGAAAGAAAAATGACAAGAAAAATTGGGTACACGAAATAAGTCACAGCAGCAAAAAATGTTAGGAACCAATTTGAATAGGAATTGAAAATAAACTGATGGAAAGTATCGTTGGCTGAATAGTGGTTATTTATTCAAGAACCAAAACCTTTATATGGTGTTAAGTAAAATTCGTTTTTTTTTCTTACGGAAAAAAAAGGAGAATTGATTAATTTTTTTATAATGTCAAGCAAATGCATTTTTTTGACTGTTAATATAGGACTTTTTTTGACGGTGAGGGAAAGTTTGACCGGTTGTTGTCTGTATAAGCATAGTTTTAAAGGTATTTTCACTTACAGATTTTTTTGAAGAAACAAAAAGTAAGAAAAAATCAGAACTTCAGAATGGTTCAGAAGCACGGCCTGTTGGCTTTTTTGTGACTTATTTTTGTTTCAGAATTGCTGCTGCTGGTTTAAACCCTTAATGATTTTTTCTTAATTGAAAGTGGAACGAAAGAGCAGTGGTAGAGTAAAGTAAACATAGCGTTTTCTAAAAATTTGAAATTTAAGCAGAAAACAGCAAAAAAAGATTAAATTCTAAAAAAATGAGGGGTGAAGGAGGAGAAAAGCGGTTTTATTCAAATATTTCATGCTATTGTATTTTACTGGACCTGAATTAACTGCATTATAAAGCAGTAGGTTGTTTCTAATAATAATTAGTTTAGAGTGGGTATTTTCCTGTCACTTATTGTTCAGTAAATCAATAGATTACTGCTGAAACTTTACCATACTAATTTTAGTCTCATTGAATTTTTTCATCTAAATATGTCAACGGTTTAGTGTAATCAATATGGGGATTGTTAAGAACTGCTGTCCGCTGTCTCAGTTGGGCTGAAACTTTAGATGTTTCATTAAACGTTACCTGTACAATAGAAAATGTAAATGACTTTTTAATTAGCGGCTGCAAAACTTGGGTGTTTTATACTTTTATAATTACTAGCAGATGAACGATGAAAGATGATAGTGGTGTTTTGGTGAGTTGTTTAAATGTAAAAAAAAAACTTGTTTTAGATGCTTATCAAAATTGAACTGTGTATTTGTTCTGAAAATTGAGCTCTTTTTTCATTCCTAAAATGGTAAATAAAACGAATGAAACATCACTGTAAATAGATACTTTTTTGCTACTTCGTTTTCATATTTTTCTGTTGTCTGGAAGTATTCTCAGCTAAAACTGTTTTCACGTTTTTTTCTTTCAATAACTTACTGCTTACCGTTTGTAATTTGAAATAAGAAGGAGGAGAGGGAGGGAGGAGGGGAAAAAGCAATTAAAGTTGAATTAACGAGTAAAAGCAATATTTGGGTATCATTAAAAAAAAATGGCACAAAAAAAGACTGTTTTTTTTACATTTTTGTTAATTTTCTTTCTTATTTCTTAAAAAAGTTTCAAGATTTTATCGACGAAGAAACGTTAGGGAAAGGGAGAGGGAGAAAAAAAGGGCGAATGACAGTGTGCGATTTTTAAAGTGTAACGGCTGTTAGTAATTTTGATTCTATTCATTGTTTTTGCTTATTTCAAATAATTTATCAAATTAGTTCTTTAAATGGTTTATATTGAATTTTTAAATTTTTTTTTTTCTGAGCGTCTTTTTTTTCAGTTGTGGTAAATAAGACATATTTTTCAGTGGTGGAAGCAATAATGTTTGATAGTAACTGCAACAGACAATGAAACTTTTGTACACTGTGTTGTGCAGAAGTTAAGGACAAAATTTTTGGGGACTATAGTAGGTGTCAGAACATTGTTGCAAAATTTAAAGTCAATAGTCAGTAAAAAAAAAGAAGTAAAAAAAAAGGAAAATATAGTAAAACCAAGTAAATACTAGCAACAGTACTAAATATATATTGCTCAAAAATATGGGTGTTGACAATTAGCTCGTTTTTCTATTTGATAATCTTATTTTGAATTAAAAATTGTTGATGGGATAATTGAAATTATGGTTGTCTATTGTTTATACAGATTATATATGTATATACATATAAGTAATGCATAGTGTAGTCTGCATCAGTGACATTTTTAATAGAGGTTTTCAAAAACCAGTTATACCTTTTTCTGTTTCATTGGAAGAGGAAACAGAAACTGTCAGCTACAACAAACTTTCGATTTGCAGCAATAATACCACCGAAATTTAACCAGAAAAAAGGAACCAAC